AAAAAGGTGATTTAATTCAGACACGGAGAATATTGCGACCACAACGTTGAGGCCAGTGTTATTGTGACAGGACACCGGAACCTGCTTCATGGCAGTTGGTGGCTGATAAGCGGGCAGGAGAATCATTTGATTGCTCAGGTAGAGATGTACCGTAATCTGTTCACCGCGTGAGAGCTGGGGGTCGCCTACCTTGCAAGTAATCAGCAACAATTGTTGTAGAAACACTCGGGCTTGGCCACATTAGAGGTAGAGAGAGAGAGGGAACATACATAGCCGCACACAATGAAACTATTACAGTTTTTAAAAACACCATCTAAGATGGGTAGAGAGACCATCAACCAGCAGGAGACAATCACCCAGCCTCACACAAAAAAGCATTAAATAAGACCCAATGGAGACAAACATAAATGAGTAAAGATGTTTGGAGATGCTGTGCGAGTAGAAGTAGGGATGAGCGGGAGAAGCTGAATTGGCTACAACACTTTTGTACACTAAAATAGCAGACACCGGCTGCCATGGAACCAACGGCACCTCGATTGCTGGAGAGCAGTTACCCGCACCCCAGCTACAGAGCCAGGTACATTCACTTTTATAACACAGACGACTTCTTTGAAGAGTCACTGATGGGACATCTTATGATTAAGACCCACGTCTGAACTTAGTTTATTGATGAATAACACACCAAACGAAAAAAGGGAAGGAGGAAATGCAGCAATGCTGACCAGAAATGGCTAGAGATTTCAAAACAAGACAGTCTCAGAGCGTCACTACTCAGATTTTATACGAAGAGCAATAATAACAAAAGGTCCTAGGGCCTTCGTGGCTGTCATTAACATTCTCCCACCAAACAACGTATTCAGACAGGAGCAAAAATATAAAGAGAAACTAGTGTATTTCAACTATGGATATACTGACTGGGACTCAACCAGAGGAAGGCACTGAAGAACAAACAAATTGCTCAACTTTGTAACTCAGAACTTACTAAAGATGTTTGTCAAGGAACTAGCAGACTGTGGCATAAATAGAAACTGAATATATAGGTGATCCTTCAAGTGGTTCCAAGGAATTGGCATCACCCTCCTTTTCTCGGATCAAGCCTGATAGTCTTCCAATCCTCAGGCTCTGTACGACCCTTACTGGTTTAACATTTGCCCTTGATAATATTACTCAAATGACCTATAGATGTATCGTGAAGCACTTCTATAATGTTAAAGTAGTGAAGTGAAGTTAACTGGAAAGCAACACAGCAGAAGTAAAAGTAGGTGGATCGTAGCTTAGCTGAAGCATCATCGGCTCACAACCTATGGGCCTGGGTTCGATTCTAAAGCCAGTTGAAACGCTGAGCATGTTTCCTTACACCTGTGCCCCTGTTCACGCAGAATTAAATAAGTTCCTGAATGCTAATCGCTTGTAGTGGTGTCATCTTTGGGAGGGTTGTACACCTTAGATAGGGCTGGATTTTAAAATAAGCCGAGGTTTGATTACTCTTACCCTGTAAATTCATGTGTAACAAAAAAAATGAGAAAAATACTCGCTGTCAAAGATATAACTCAAGAAAAAATCGGCCAACAGGACGTTGAGGCGGTGCCGAGTGCTAAAGCTCAAAATCCGCAAATTCTTCTAGGTAATTACTTACATATTCACAAAACGAAAATCGAAAAAATAAATAAATAACTTAAAACTTTCTCCTCGCCGTTACCCGACGTTTGCTTGAGGAGCTTCAGTGATACCGTTCTTGCAAGCGCTCCTTCAGGGGATGAGGGAAAACGTGCAATTACACACTCGCAAACCAAACCGGTCCTGTAGCCTCCTCGCACCACAAGGTGTGCAATTTCACTTCAGTTCTTGTTTATTTGTGGGTCCACACATGGGGGACCATGGTGTTCACACAGGCTGGACTAACGCAAAAAAAAAAAATAATTTAGCGGCACCTTAAGACTATGATATGAAGTCCCTAAAAAAATGGCCGCCCCCCGTAAATTATTACCTTTTTTAATTTTCGAATATTTGAGGCATCTTAAATTTAACATAAATTTAGGCCTAAGAAGGTCAAATTTCGGCTCTTCAATCATCTCATCCGCAGCAACGGACAACGTTGAGTCCCAGAGCAACCCGTCCTCATTTTACACCCTCCGTTTATTTTCACGCTTTTCTTATATTTATCCTAAATATATTTTTGGACTAAGTTAAATGACTATAAATACGTATATTTAACCAAGAAAAAATGAAAAAAAAAAACTGGTGTGATCGTCTGACTAACAAGAGCATAAATAAGGAATCGCTAAAATTTCGTTTTTCACAGTGAGTGTGTCGAATTTTCCTGCAAACCATTACAAACCTTTTTTATCTAATGTTTCCATGTATCAGTTTAGAACGATTTTTAACAATAGAGAATATTAATATAAGTTACATTATTATTAGTTATGGTAGGTTGCATTATTTAATATGAACCCTTTATTACAACATTATTAACATACATTATCTATAACAATTGAAGGTGGAAAAGTCTAGACTAGTTGGATACTCTTCCTTAATTGGTTGGAAACTAATATTTGTTATGACTATGTCACAAGTAAAGCCAGATTCAACAGATTTTTTTCTTAAGATATAACAAGACAAGCGTGAGCATAACTGGGTAATATAAAATAAAGGATACGCAAATACAGATAACATTTACGTCACCCAGGGTAGTTGTGTTCCGTTTGCTTCTTGCAAACAGGTATGAACCTTTATTAACGTTCGATAAATTGTGGCATTCCGTCTAATTCAGATGAGTGGCTATTTAGCAATCATATTGTTTATATTAATCCAGGAGGTAATATTTAATATAGTAACTATTAATTAGGTGCTTATAGTTAATAGTTATAATAATATTAATATTATAGTTAGTATTCAAAATATATAATATATTAGTGATTTTCAAAATTAAGTGTATAATTATTTATAGATGAGTTGGAAAGAACCCTTACACTCTCAAGTGGTGTGAACTAGATAATTGTTTAGATGGTAGATTGCATTAGTCCATTTTTGTTATGAGCCATGAAATTCAATGTTTGCAGATTTATCACTGGTCAATGAATAATAAACATTTCAACCCCTTGGAGTTAGTTTTTCTTAGTTTATCTTGTGTTATTTCATCTTATACAGGGAGTAACTAGATTCTATCTAACATGGCTCTAAACAGACAAACCGGTGGGTAGTTTCTTTTCCTATTTCTATGGGTGAAACAGATGAGAATAACTTTTCAGTTCGATATTCCTAGTTGGGCAACTCATCTGTGTATTCAGATACGTGGCCGGGTAGTTAAATTTACAAATTATATATATATATATATTATATATATATATATATATATATATATATTATATATATATTATATATATATATATATATATATATATATATATATATATATATTTATATATATTATATATATTATATATATTATATATATTATATATATATTATATATTATATTATATATATATATTATATATATAATATATTATATTATATATTATATATATATATATATTATATATATATATATAATATATATATATATTATATATATATATATATATATATATTATATATTATATATATATATATATATATATATATATATTATATATATATTATATATATATATTATATTATATATATATATATTTATATATATATATATACATTATTATATATTTAATACCCATAATTCCACGATTATATAACAAAACATTGCCTTATTGTTTTTGTACTGATGAACTGCATTTTTATTTCTTAATATTTCTACTTTACGGGGAAATATTTCCTAATATTTCTACATTACAGGTAAATATTTCTACATTACAGGTAAATATAATTTTTTTCCTACGTTGTATTTTGCACAGTACTGCCCATTAATGTCCAGATTACGCTAACGAATTTTTCAGTAAATACTCACATACTGATTACTGAACACTTACGTTAAGATACAGTGAATATTTTTAATAAATGATATATTATATATGAACACTAATTGTAAAATTTGATTAACCATTATAGTTAAACCTCTAGAATTTTTGGACTCGACATTTAACCCAAACTTTGATCACCAACTTGCACTGCAAGGGCTTTAAAATCATTTTTTTTTTTTTTTTTTTTTTTTTTGCTATTAGGTTCTTTAAAAAATGTTTTCTTTTGAGTATTGTGCAGATAATATTTGCGTTAATATGAAAGAAAGTGAAAATAACGTTATAAGTAATCCACACTAATTGATAAAGTTTGCATTCAACCTTGTGGAATACGACCAACTAATTATGAAGGTAAACGAACGCTGTACTTGTTAATTTGAAATACAGTACTGTAATGTTTTTCCTTGACATCACACTATCAACTTTAAATTTATTTTGCTAGAATATGAGTTACAAAGCAGATTAAATTAGAAAAAAAGGTGTCATTATATACAGAAAAATAAGAGATTAACTTGTGAATATTTCAAACTAATCTGTTAATTTCTCGAATTAAAATTTTTTTATATATTTTATATTTTTATAATTAATTTATTTTACAAAATTTGCATATATTTTTTCAGCACGCCCACTTCCCACCATACATACTTTCTACTTCCAAGATTTCACATTCATGCAGGTCATCTGGTAAATCATTTCACTATATAAGTAGTGTTCATGTTTGAGATGCACAGCTAAACAAATAGATAGTGCTACGCTCGTCGCACATTTGATAATTTAAAATAACTCACGTGCACAATGAGGATCACCGACCCAGAACGACTGAGACCCTGGCATTTATCCTAGAAAATGTCTGATGCTAGACTTAGTCAACCTTAAATTTTGTTAATGTTACATTCAGCCTAATGCCAGAGTGAATAAGACCCAAACATTGTATATAATATCAGTGCATATACTCTAAAAGATATATACTCTGCTGGAACTCATAGAAATATATATAGTATATTTCCTGCTCTTACTAGTATTCACGTGTACGTGCTTTCTTTCCAGACTATGCCACCACAACTCCTGCTACAACAACTACTACTACTACTACTACCACCACCACCACCACAACCCCTGCTACAACCACTACTACTAAGTCATCAACGGGTAAACTTTTTTTTCATTATGCAGTAACATAATTAAAATATAGGTAGCTGCTGTGTCCCAAATTTCCCTGAGAAGGTAGTGGATCGCCATTAAACAACAAATTTGCTTTGGCCAAGTTCTGTAAACTGTTGATGTCTGGTTACTTTCCAAGAGTTTAGGTTTAAGGTTTACCTTTTTTTTTATCCTTGGGTATCGTGTTTCCGGGAAGGTGCAGCCATCTCTGTGGCACGTGGCACATTTAAAGATGACCAATTCACCCGGAATATTTCATAAAGTCATATGGCTTCTTGGAGGTTTTATAAAATAGTCACACAGAAAATCCCCGGTTGGCTGACCTTATGACATAATTGTATGTTGTACCTGGGCATGAACATTTAATGACACACGAATCACAAGAATACCTGCAGTGTCGTGTGACATTGCCATGTCGTTTCGAGTAACTTTCAGTCGTGGCGAAATATCTCCTTTAATAAATGTCCTGAGCTGTACATATAGTAAATGCCTTTTGTATTCGGTATTACCATACCACTCGCTTCCAACAGTTGAACTCTTCCGCTTATTGTACAACACTGGGAAGTGTTGATGGACCTGCATCCGGAGACACTTGGCATGCCTTCACATAATGCGTTTCACTTTTATAATAGAGAAACACGAAACTGAATGTGTTTCCGTAATATGAAAGAGCTTGGCTGTTTATATTTATGCTTTCCAGTGCTTAGGGTAGGGTGATCAGTAATAGTCTTTAAAGTTATTCTTCTTTTTACATTTAGTAATATACACAGAAGAGGTTAGTAGCCCCTTGCTCTCGACATGTGAATCGCCTCTTATAACACACATGGCATGGCTCACGGAGAAAGGATTCTTTTCTACTTCTCTATGGAGATTAAAGAAAATAAATAAGAACAAGAACTATTAAGAAAATAGACGAAAACTCAGATGGGCGTGTATATACTTATACATGAATGCGTAGCGTGAACTGAGTGCAAAATAGACGAAGAAAGATGTATCTATTATCTTTCTTGTTTATGAGATAGAAAGATAAAACACTAGCAATCCACCATTGTGTGAAACAATTAAAGGTTTTCGCTTCACACTCATTTGGTAGGATGGTAGCACCTCCCTGGATAGTTGATGTCTATATATATATATATATATATATATATATATATATATATATATTATATATATATATATATATATATATATATATATATATATATACATATATATATTGCAATAAGATCACAGTAAACAGGTGATTTCAGAATATGCAAAACAACCACTGTGAAAGAATTGGAATTTCTCTTTTCTTTCACAGTGGTTGTTTTGCATATATATGTATAGAATTATATATATATATATATATTATATATATATATATATATATATATATATATATATATATATATATTATATATATATATATATTATAATAGTATTTTGACTGCACAAAACAGTCAAAATAATAAAAAGCGCTTAGCTCCAATAGCATCTCTGTGAAAGGTGTAGCTTAATCCACTCTCAAGAAATAGCCCCTTGAATAGCATGGGCGGCGAAAGCAGAATACTCACCAAATGGGATCTAGTCGTTTTCAGGATAATATAGCAAAACTAGTAGCGGTGATGCTAATTAAACAATTAGTAATCTAAAACCAATGCACTTATTCAGAGCCTCACAGTCAGAATTGCCAAATTCAACTAAATCTAATGCGTTTACACTCCACGCACGTAACAGTACATTAAGTGCATAGTCCACACCGTTCATATGCGCCAGTACAGTCCTGCACAACGTTCATGACTGCAACCTGTCCACAGTTAAGGAAAATCTGAGCAAATATAGCTCTAAATATAGCTCTGTGTCCCATCTCTGGAACATCCTGTCTTTGTCCACCTTGTCGATTCTTCTTAGTATTTTATATGTCGTTATCATATCCCCCTATCTCTCCTGTCCTCAGTGTCGTCAGGTCGATTTCCCTTAACCTCTCCTCGTAGGACATACCCCTTAGCTACGGGACTAGTCTTGTTGCAAACCTTTGCACTTTCTCTAGTTTCCTTACGTGCTTGGCTAGGTGTGGGTTCCAAACTGGTGCTGCAGTCTGTGTGTGGGGGGTAACGAAAGTAGGGATAGAGGGAGTGTAGGAAGAATTGAAGAAAGTAAGAAGGAGAAAGAAAAGTGTGGCAGTGATGGACGGAGGAAGAAAGGGGGTTACCATTCACATTACTTGATCAAGCACAATTATAAATTTGTAATAACCTTGCCCTGTATGTCAAAGTTCCTACCCGCTGTCAAATGCATTCTTTAACGTCCACCGCCCCATAAAAAAGTATGGAGGAAATACCGTGTTGCTACTATGCATCAAAAAACAAAGTACGTGAGACGTGATCACCACACGTATCCTGGGGCAGGTGATGACTACGTGCCGTAAGACCCGGAAAACAATGCACGATATACAACGTACTCACAGGCCTCAATAAGACATACAACTCCAGACTGTAAAAAAGGAATCAGCGAACAAGGCGCAAAGGAAAAAGATACAGGCACAAATGGGGCTACGGAGACGTTAGAAAGTCCTTTTTTTAATATAAGAATGGTTATGACATGGAACGATCTGGATGAGGATTGGTGGAAGCAGATTATAGTCACAGATTTAAGAGTACGTAACATAAAGGTCAAGGGGAACAGGAATAATAGCGTGGTCCTTCGTTAATAATCGAGAGCAGGACCATAAGACGAGACTCCACCCCTGCAACAACATAAGCACCCCCCCCCCATCCTTAAACATCATAATTCAGTACTGCAGCGTTAATCAGTAACACAGTTCCAGTGCCTCTCCAATATTATGTTTCAAATCGTATTTGAGCCATTAACACTGTGATGGACTTATTCACACAAACCACACGACGAAAATTTGGATTGGATGAACAGCAATAACAAAGATATCCTTTCCTTGGCTTACTCTATAAAGATTTTCAGATTTTGCCCCGAGGGGCAAGTTTACTGGATAGTACCAGTCATCCTGTGAGTGGGCATACCACCATAAAAACAGTACAATGCACTGATGATAAAAGCAACATCTTTGGCTGTTACAATATCCTTGTTTCAGGACCTTTATTTATTATATAATTATCCAACTGCAGTGAATATTGCATCTTTTTATAAAATGTTATGAATTTTAATTATAACGTACTTGTATGATAGTGCTATCAACCGTTCAGTATATTCTAACACTGTTACATTCTAAGATATGATACTGGAGATGATATATATCCTCCTTTCCACACATGCTATGTATAAGAGCCGATTCAACAAATCGTCGTCTGGGAAGACTCCTTGCTTTTCTTTTGCCAATTTGTACGCATTAACAAAAGTATTGACACCGTAATACTTGTACGTTGTAAAGCGGAAGATTCAGTATTTGGGATAATTTTTTTAATTGTGCATATAAAAGGCTAAAAAAATAATGCAGGTAGCTTCAATTCTTCTGACTCTCTCTTCCTGTGCTAGTGTCAAACAGAGATATATCAATATAATTATGAAAGGTGTTTAATAGATCTTTTCATCAATCAACAAATTTTTTTAATAAATAAAAAATTTCAAATATCGAATATTACGATAGCTTTTCCCAATTCAGTAAAAGTTCAGTGTACACGAAATCATTATTATTGAATGAAATTCCTTCGAACGCATACATCAAGATGGGTATATCCCGAGTGAGTAAGCACTGAGAGTTGACTTAATCGTTGTGTTTTAGAACTTAAAATATTCTTGAGTGTAAATTTTAATTGTAGCTTTAATGGCCCACGTGTAATCGTTTAGCTTTAAATCTAACCAACTAACTTTCAGACAATATTGTATATTATATACAATGAGGTATGTATGTTTCAGTGTATATACACTAAGAAATTACTTTAATATCTATTTTAGCTATTAAAATATTATTGATGTTAGTCTACATGTGAAATGCTGCCATAATGACCCTGCTCATGTTTGAGAGGCCTTGAACCAAACAAAGCATTTCTGACACAGTAAATAACTTTCAGACTGCGAAGTTGCTGGAAGGACGTTCCCAGATGGGTTCAAGGTGGAGGGGGCTGGCACAGCATGTCAATCATGCTTCTGTCTGCGTGGCACCGTCACCTGCACTAACCTAACGTGTGCCCAGCCCATAGAAGGCTGCAAACCTATCATGCAGGAAGGTCGCTGCTGTCCCGTCATGTACGACTGTGGTGAGTGTCACTGGCCGTCCCACTTAATACCTTAACTCCAGTGAGACTATGTCAAAAGACTCTTGACTGTAGGATAGAATATGAAGATCATTTTTGTTTGGGTTATTTCCTTTTGTGGGATTATTTTTTATTAGAATAATGCAATTTAATTTACGAAATTTATAAGAGTGGCCCAATGCACTGCCAGGATGGCATTATTCTGTCAGTAAGACAGTTGTTGTGAGCCAGTCACTAGTAGGATAGCACTACTCAGTCAGTAAGACAGCTGTTGTGGAGTCAGTAAGACAGTTGTTGCGGAGCTAGTCACTGTCAGGATGGTAGAATGCGGTCAGTAAGACAGCTGTCCTGACAGTTGTCAGGACAGCACTGTTAAGACTTGGGGATGTTGTGAAGCTCATCACCACGAGGTTCATGGACGGATATATACTCTGATTCAGAGAAAACATCAATTATGGGGATGTACGTCTTGTCCCAAGGACACTGGCCTTAATTACGAGAAGTCTTCGTTAAGGAAGTCTCCCCTTATTAAGAAGCGAATGTCATAAATACCACGTTTTATTAAACTGTTTAAAATTATTAATGCAACATTTTCTCCGGACAGGTGGCGAAGTCACTCAGGACCAACTTGCTCTTCTCTTAAAGGTAAAGAACCGTGTCTGTGTTATCTGATGCCTTGTTCCGTTATTCTACGTCTTTGAAGGAAGGGGCGCAATTCTGCTGAATTCTACGAAAATTATGAAAGAACACAGTCACTGTCATGTGTACTTATATCACTCGTATATAATATACATTTTTTTTATACTGTGCATTAGTACAACACAGTGAACTTATATTTGCAGCATGCAAATAAAAGGACCAAAGTAACACTGCAGTAGGACTACTGGCCCATGCAAGGAAATCCAATTTACACAATTATCGCTTGGGTATGTTTGTACAATGATACATGTGATAATTTGTTCCATTCACCTACAACGATATTAACAAGCCAATATTTACATATATCCCATCCAAATTTAGCGTTACCCGTATTTATCAAGCTGCTATTCTACCTTAAATGTGATATTTTCAGCACTCTAACATATCTCTTTTTTTATCCCTTTCACTGATTTATATATTACAATTATATCACTGCCAATTATATACGTTTATGATAATGTTATTTCAGTTCTTTTAATGTTACGCCAGTCTTTTTAATTTATCTTCGGAAGTTGATCTTTTGTTCATCATTCGTATGTTTTAAGGCCATATTATTTGCTCAATATGTAGTCTGGTGACCAAAACTACACGACAGATGCCAAGTCCCAAAAGAGTAAGGTAAAGTGAAGGGTTATATTAATGTTACTGTTACTAACTGCTACATATCAAGTCAAATAACTGCTAGGCCTTGCGGCGGACAGTAACATACTGCTCGCTTAGTTTTACATTTATATAATAGTTGTCAGTCACAGACAACTTAATCAAAGTAACCCAATACTTCATTACTGAGAGGGCCTCTAGTGACAATTTTTCCTAACTTAAAACCATTATTTTGTCAACTAATGGAAAACAAGCTTCTGTCATACAAGAATGCATATGCCGCGGTATTTACAATAAAGCCAAGAAACAGTAAACATTAAAAAAACTAATTTTAATATCCACTTCAGAATGCGACTGCATAAAAAAAAATAATCGCGATGTTGCGCTAAGGTTAGCACTCTATCTTTGCCTTGCTATGAAAGGTAAGCTTTTTAGATTAGCCTTTTAACCTACCATGGCACTAATAGCTCGTTCTGCCGTAGCAAATAAGCACCAGTCTATCATAACACTGTTATTAACCCTGCCCTAGGCTAAGGCACTGGACCACCAGGATGAGCTACTTGAGAGGCAGAATATGGCTAGGATGAGTCCAAGCGGCGAGGCAACCATCACTGACATAGAAAACGACAAGGTAAGTTATATAATATTTCTCTTTAAGTTAACAGAGCAGACAAAGAGAATAAACTAGTCCTTCGGAAGACCACCGATGTAATCCTCGGTATATTTTGTTAAGATTGCGATCACGTCTTTCAGTCTACTACTGAAACGGTACAGACACGCACACAAAAAAAAAAAACCGACAATAGTTTACTTGAAAAAGTGACCGTGCTATTACCTTTTTATAGTTTCAGTGAATCAGCCTGACACAATTAAGTGTGACTGTGAGAGAAGAAAGTTGTATGTGAGAGAAAAATAAGATGCTTATGGAAATATAAGAAGAATGAGGTTTATCTAGGAATTAGTTTGAACAAATTGAAATGAGATAAAAAAACAAACAGGTTAACCTGATTTTTCTGCTGGAACATTATACTACTTTCACTGGTACTGCAAAAGATCCTGTCTGTTGATAGAAAGTAAAAGGGTCTCTCTTTTCACCCTTCAACTATCACCAAAATTTGTAATTTAAGCAAACTTTTTGGTTATTTACACTAAGAAATGCAACTCTGTATATATGTTCACTATATGACATGGGTAAAAAGCGAGGTTTTGCTACAATGTGACCAAGGAACAATCAGGTTAAGGGAAATATGTCTCATTAGGCTACAGTTTGCATTAACACTAAGGAATTCAATAGTTATTCATATAATAAACACATTAATATTTTGTAATCATTTATGTTCATAATTTATTACAGAAAAAATATGTCAATAACAGTAAACAAACCAGGTCAATAACTTTTTTATTTGATATTATCCAGTCGCCAGTACACAAAGCTTCAACAGAAGCTGATTCTCCACATTCAAGTCAAGAAGAAGCAAGCGCAACGGAGATTACCGTAACTGAAGGCGCTCGACCTGAAGAAGACATAGAGGAGGAAGCCACAAAGATCTGACCAACTCTCAAGAAAATCTGCCTCAACGAAGAAAATCCATTCAGAGGTTACGGCCATTAACGCGCCCGTCTCGTGCAGATATTGCTAAACGCCGCCAACAGTCCCGCTTCAGCGTGCCTCTACCAACGCCAACGAGAATATCTCGGCCCAGCTCACCCAACCAACCTGGACCTGAGACACAGACCCTAAGTGAGCGCATAAGAAATCGGAGCCAACCCACCAAATATGCAGCCAAGGCCAAGACGGCACTCGAAACATCCAAGCAGTATGCAACTACACTCATGACACCTATAACGTCCGAACTCACTGACACCCTGGTAGCTATACACGACACACAAGAATACAGCAGGTCTATCACACTGCCTATTACTACTACAAAGGAGCCCTTCACCGCTACGAAAGACCTCTCCAGCACTACAAAAGAGCCTTCCACCACTACAAAGGAGCCTTCCACCACTACAAATGAGCTCGCAAACGTGGATAGCACTAAAACCAGATCACCATCATCCCCATATTCGAGGTTCAGGTATTCCATCAAAACCACAACCCTCAAGCCAGCCACAACACCCAGGCCTTTATCTACGACAAGCACTACTACTGCTCCAGTCATTACCACCTTGAAACCGCAGCTTAAATCACGTTTTGAGGTAGTCTTCAGAGACATCTAACAATTATTTAAAAAAAATGTCAGTCAGATGTAACAACGAATATCTAAATCAACTTTCAATTTTGTAAAATTAAGACAAGAGTTCCTTCCTTTCGTTTTAGATCATTTCGATTAAAACAGAGGTTACATCTGGTTGCCTGCCGCTTAGCCATGGATTAGCAACCGTACTGGATTGGAAACTTTAAAGCCAATGAAGAGAATGTTTTTTAACTCCAACTAAAAAGAGATAGCTAACCTTTTCCTACATTCCGGAAACTAACAATGTTAATGGCAGAGTTTTCAATCCAAAATGGAATAAAGTAACCCACGATGTATCTAACTAACCCAAGGTGTATTTAAATAATTCAGAATTTATCTAAATAAACCAGGATGTATCTAAATAACCCAGGATGCATTTAAATAACCCAGAATGTATCTAAATAACCCAGGATGTATCTAAATAACCCAGGATGTATTTAAATAATCCAGAATATATCTAAATAACCCAGAATATATCTAAATAACCCAGAATATATCTAAATATCCCAGTGCGTATCTAAATAACCCGGGATGCATCTGAATAACCTAGACTATACCTAAATAAACCAGGACGTAACTCAGTAACACAGGATGCTTCCAAATAACCACGATGTATCTAAATAAACCAAGAAATATTTAAATAACCCAGGAGGTATCTAACTAACCCAGGAGATAATTAATAATTCAGGAGATAATTAATAACCCATGAGATAACTAAACAACTCAGGAGATAACTAAACACCTCAGGAGATAACTACATAACCCAGGAAATAGATATGTAACCCCAGTACCACCTTACTGAAGCACTACCGCATGAGTGAAGGACTGAAGTAGGCATAACTTATGCTTTCTTATCTAAACCAGGATGTCTAACTTAAATTCATTATTTAATGAAGTACTGATAATTTTCTAAACGCTATATATATATATATATATATATATATATTATATATATATATATATATATATATATATATATATATGCAAAACAACCATTGAAAGAATAGAGAAATTAAGCGCTATTCTGATACTCACATTATCAATGTGAGTAGTCACGAAAGCGCTTGAATTTCTCTATTTTTCAGAGTTTGTTAGTGCATATTCTGAAATCACCTTTTACTGTGATCTTATTGCATATATATATATATATATATAATAATATTATATAAATATAATATATATATATATATATATATATATATATAGTATTATATATACTTATAATTTTGTGTGTGGTGTGTGTGTGTGTTGTGTAGTGTGTGTGATGTGTGTGTGTGTGTTGTGTTGTGTTGATGTTGTTGTGTGTTGTGTGTTGCGGCGCGCGCGCGTTTAACATTTGCAAACCGGCGGCAAGGTGCGGCCCATTGATGGATTAATTCTTAATCTTGTACTATGCATGCTAATTCCATAGTATTCTAAGTATTATTTTTGGGGACTGATTTTCTATTGTGCTTTTTTATTAACGGCATTAATAATAATAATAATAATAATAATAATAATAATAATAATATATATATAATAATAATAATATATTATTTTATTATATATTTTTTTATTATTATTATTATTATTATTATTATTATTATTATTATTATTATTATTATTATTTATTATTACTTACAGTAAATCAAACCTACAAAGTCAGCTTATACTTTTAGACATTTTCTGTAAATTAATATTGAACTAATAACATTGAGCATGTTATAATAAGTATTTTAGAGCACTAGGTTACAGCCATATTACAAAATAAACCAACAAGCTTGCATGGAGACACCATAAATTGAACATAGACTTTCATAAACTTGCTGCAAGATACAAATGCCAGTTTTTTTTTTTTTTTTAAGAGGAAGAAGAATTAGAATTCAATGACACAACAAGATGAAGCAGAAGTACTGTGTTAAAAACGACAGGTTTTAACTTCTCGAGACGGGATGCAGCTGCACCAAAGACCACAGGAATTCCGACAAAAATCTGACTAAGTACTAACGTCCTGAACACAGTAAACAGTGACTCAAGGTGCTGGGGGAGGTTGAATTTAAATGCAACAAGTATTGAACAAGTCAATACAACAATTACTGGACAAGTAAAACAGTGACTCGAGAGTAGTGGAGGCATTTAGGTGTTCTGACAAAAAACTGACAACAGACTAACGTACTGAACAAGGTGTTGGTGGATGTTTTAAGAAAAATAGACTGCAAGTAATCACCAATATCAAAATAGTGATTGACAGACGAGCCACTGCGCGATGACACTGCACCACCTGCCGTCAAGAGTGCTTCACTGAGCAACAATACAGACAACATTTGTACGACATGGCCAGAGACAATAATGACGCTGACAGCAATGTACTGTGTTTATCAGATACAGAATGTTCACAAACAGAACGAAGCTTTCCGAACTTGCAATAATATATTTCCTAATGTAGCATAATTCAGTTAATGCAATCATAGCTACTTTATTGCCCACATGTTTTTTAACAAAAATAAGTCTTCGCTGAGGTCAATTTACTTACGTTAAAGTATGGAATATATAATGCTCACTTTAGCTATATAAAATAATTTTAACATGTTACTGAACAAAAATATAATTACATAAGCTTACATAGGCTTCAATGCAGACATGATAAAATTGCAATAAAGTAAAAACTTCCAAACAAATTAAAATTAACGTTTACTTTGAAAATATAATGGTCTGAAAAATTATTTATAGTAATTTGAAAGTTAGGTGTACTAACATGATATTTCCCCATACTTGAATTTCAGGTAACTGGCGTGGGCCATGTTGGCGACGCGTTTCTACTCCAAGACAGAAGGAAACTCACTCCTTTCATCCCACCCCGCCGTCCTTCGATTTTCAACCGGAAGGAACAGGTGGAGGTAGGGACTGGTGTTACTGTGAAGGGCAGTGCGCAACACGCAATGCCTTTCGGTCCAATACTTATATTCGACAACAGAGTCAGGACTGACCGCAAACAGAAAGCTACAAACGTAACAGACAATACTGTTACAACTACAATGGAGACAAAGGATGAAGATGAAACTGCTGTTACTGACATTCCTATTGAAGAAACAACACTGTTACCTAAGGATATTCCAACAGAGGAAGAGTTAAACGAGGAATCTATAACGAGCAGTGATGCACTGAACGAATCAGAGCCAACGTTGGAGGAATTAACAACGGTAGTGTCTTTGCTCGATTCAGACACAACCATCAAACCTGAGGAGAGTCCCTCCACCACAACCCAATCAACTACTACTACTACTACTACTACCACCACCACCACCACACCACCATCACCTCATCAACCCCTGAAGAGGAAGATCCTTCACCTACATCACCTTCTGTGGATGACACGTCACCAGTTGAGGAGGCAGATAGATACTGATTACATCTACACTGAAACTGACCTGCCAACTTACGACATCACTGTAGGAACCTCGGTAATGGCTAGCAACCATCCACCACCTGGTGTTGTGGGTGTTGGTGAAGTGATCCCTGTGGATCTGGAGCCAGAACACAAGGCGTCTGAAGCTGACAATGCTACAGAAGCTGCTCGCCCATCTCTACTGGGTACTCTCCTCAACATTTTAACGCGACCAGACCGACCAACCCGTCCAAGACCTGAAACACAACCAGATACACTAAATGCAGACAGGACAATACCAGAAAGACCGAACCCACAGACACCAAAACCAGAGACATCAAAACCAGAGAGACCAAATCCAGAAAGAACGAAACCAGAGACACTAAATGCAGAGAGAACGAAACCAGAAAGACAAAACACAGACAGGACAAGACCAGAAAGATTAAGGCCAGAGAGACCTCTTCAGTCCTTTAGACCACGCCCAAGACCAAACACTAGGCCTGAATTCGTCCCTCCACGATTCCGATTCACTCCACCTCCACCCCTTTCTACAGATGACCTCACAACCCAGTCTTCGGCTACTGCGTCCACACAAGAACAAGAAAAAACTAACAGACCTGCAGTGAACCCATCGCCTTTCCTACATCCACCAAATCGACTTAACCCATCTCACCACCCTGCCCTTCATGCCTTTGTTCAAAGCAGTCCCACACAAAGCGACCATACTCCAATTCACCTCCCACCCATTTCTCTAATCAACCTTCCCGATCCAATTCATACTCGCCCCAAGCCTGCTTTCAGCCAGACAAGCGCCGCTAATCTCCAGTCGTCTCCAGCTCTTGGTCAACCGGGACCTCAGGCGGATCTACCCTCTGAACCCATTATTGAAGGAGGATTCCAAGGAATCAGAGGTGAAAGTGAAGGCATTCAACCTACCTTCGATCTCTCAGATGACTACGACACTAATGGAGATCCGACACTTCCTCCGTCGCTCCCCAACCTGAAGTAAGATATCTGAATAAGTGGAAATGTGTGTGTGTGTGTGTGTGTGTGTGTGTGTGTGTGTGTGTGTGTGTGTGTGTGTGTGTGTGTGTGTGTGTGTATGTTGGGTGTTTTAACTGTTAGTGTATAAAGCACCCTATTGGCAAGACAGTGATGGAGTGAATGATGGTGAAAGTTTTTCTTTTTCGGGCCACCCTGCCTTGGTGGAAATCGGCCAGTGTGATAATAATAAAAAAAATAATAATATATATGCAAACCAACCACTGTGAAAGAATAGAGAAATTCCAAGCGCTTTCGTGACTACTCGCATTATCAAGGAACAATGAAAGTAATGCATCAAAGGAAGGCATATAAAGGGTCTAGCCCACACCTCACTATCACAGGTGTGGGCTAGACCCTTTATATGCCTTCCTTTGATGCATTACTTTCATTGTTCCTTGATAATGTGAGTAGTCACGAAAGCGCTTGGAATTTCTCTATTCTTTCACAGTGGTTGTTTTGCATATTCTGAAATCACCTGTTTACTGTAATCTTTTTGCATATATATATATATATATATATATTATATATATATATATATATATATATATATATATATATATATATAAAATATATATATATATATATATATATGTGTGTGTGTGTGTGTTGTGTGTACTCCTAGTTTGATAAGATCACAGTTAGGTTGAGGTCATCCAACTCTGGCCCCGCCTCATTACAAGGTTGTAACTGAGTCACTGCTTGAAATTCAGCTTTATTACCATGTTTTATAATCTAATTATGGCCCTACTCCATAGATCGCATCCCCAAACATTCAATATGAACTTGGGCTGAATAAAATTTTACTGTGGATAACATCATCCATTGTAAAAATCGTGACTTCAACTTCCAACTGTGTCCGCTGTTAACTGTGTGCTCAGTCGATGGATACACCGTCTCGTCCCACCTTGTCCCTTTCCTTATACCTGTTGGTAAGTACGTTTAGGGTCATGCCCACTATCTCCCTCCGGGTTGCCCCAGTGTCCGTATTGTTTGATTTCCCTTAACCTGGTTGATAGGACATACCTCTTAAAGCTCTGGGGAATTCAGTACTTGTTGCCCCAAACCTTATGTAACTTTCCAAGTTTCTTTACATGGCTTGGCTAGGTGTGGTTCCAATTCCGTCTATATACCCATATAATGGGGCCAAGAACGTACGGGTCTGAACGATTCCCCTTATTCGGCGGCGATGCGGAATGCTGGTGCTGAGGTTACCCATTGCTGCAGCAGTTTGGTGATTGCGCTCAGGATGTGCCTGGTTTAACTACCCCAAGATTTTTTCCTTGTGATGTTTGTGTCTCTACCCAGACTGTACTCCATCTGCGGTCTTCTTTCCTTCCCAATCCTCATGACTTTGCACTTGGTGGGATTGAACTCCAGGAGCGTTGCTGCAGGTCTGCGCCTGTCCAGTCCTTTGTATTTCTGCCTGTCTGATCGAATGAACTTTCATAACTCAGTCATCTGCAAACATGCACTCGGGTTTATTCCTTCCGTCATGTCGTCAAATACAGAAAAGCAGGTCCTAGGACTGACCCTGTGGACCCCGTGGTCACAGGTGCCCACCTGACACCTCGCCTCGTACATTACTCGCTGCTGTCTTCTGACAGTATTCCTGATCCATGCAGTGCCTTCCCTGTTTTCTGCTTGTCCTCGTTTTGACTAATCTCTTGTGTGGTCTGGTCAAACCATCTTGCGTCTAAAAAATGCATCCCACCCTTCTCTCTCTTGTCTACGCTGTCACCATGTCATAGAACTCATAGTTTGACACGATTTCCGTCTTGAAACCATGTTGTCTGCTGGTATGATCATTCGTTTCAGTGTTCACCATCTCTCCTGACATTTTTTTTATGTTTGCATATACTGCATGACAGTCTGTAGTTTAGTCTTCATGTGTCTCCTTTTTTAAAGATGGTACCACATTTGCTGTCTTCCATCTAGGCAATCTCTGTTCGATAGATGTATTGAATTTGTTGTTAGGTACACATAGGCCTCGCTCCCTCTCTCGACCATGAGAGTTATCTGGCCATTGCTGAGGTATCTAGTCACTCAAAGCTCTTCACTTTTCCTCGTGTGTGTACTGTGCAGCCTGGTGGTACCCCACCTCTCCGTCTTTTGAGCCTTCTGCTCCTGTGACATTCTTTGAATCTCTGTTGTCCTCACATACTACTGCATCTTGTTGTCTCTCCTTCCTCCTTACTGATTACTGTCTTGACGGTTGTTCTTCCTGATGGGCTGTAAACAGCTTGGTCAATTGCTTTTTGCTATGTCGTTCATATTGACGTTGGGCCTCCCTTCTTATTGTGCAATTCGTTTCGGCTCTACACGTCTCCTTATTTCCTGGGTCTTTGCCTTTATATTTTCATTCCCTAGCACACTTGGTTTGCCTCCTTGCTCTTATGAACAGGGTCCGGCTTTTCATTATTCTGTTACCTTGGTAAACCCTCCTAGCCTCTTGACATTGTGTCAATTCATATCTCATTAACTGGTTTCCCTGCAGTTCTCTGTCACTGACTCTCGGAAGTTCCTCATTCTGTGTATCCCTTTCCTGTAGTTTGGTTCATTTCTGGCCTCCTGCTTCCCCATTGTAGTTATGTATTCGAACTCAAAACACTGATCGCTGGCCCCAAGGGTCTTTAAGTGATGTCCTCGTATCTGCATATAAGGGATATAAGTCCAGTTTGCTGGTTCATCCTCTCCCTCTTTTGTAGTGTCCCTTCTGTTGTACATGACGTTTTCCAGACACTCCATCATGCCTCCATGTTTTGCCCATGGCTCCAAGTTCCCCATTCGTTCCTGTGGTTAAAGTCGCCATGATCAGAGCTTGCCGCTGTATGAGCTCTCTGGCCACTGCAGCCAGTGTGTCAACATCGCTCTATTGCCTCGTCTACTCTTGCCTGGCCTCTGCTGTTCTGGTGGTTATACTACTGCAATTATACCTTGGACTCCAGTGAGCGTTCCGTAGCAACACTTCTTCTCCGCTGTTCCTCTTCCAGCTCATCAAATCATGGTGTTTGATCAGCATACCACTCCTCCCCCCCCCTGTTCTTCTGTCTTTCCTCAGATTGTATCCCGTGGGAAGATGGCTCTGTTATCATACTGTAAGCTTGGTTCTGTGATTGCTATGATGTTGTGAGCTCTTTGCTCTTCGTGGTGTGTGTGTGTGTGGTGTAGTTGTGTGTGGTGTGTGCGTGTGTGGTGTGTGTGTTGCCTGTGTGTTGTGGTGTGTGTGTGTGTGTGTGTAATAAGATCACAGTAAATAGGTGATATCACAATATGCAAAATAACCACTGCGAAAAAACATCATTAACAAGGAACTGTGATAATGTAAGAAATCACAAAAGTGCTTGGAAATTCATTATTTTTTTCACAGTGGTTATTATCAATCATCAATATAGTCAACATCATGAGATTTTACAGAATCATCCCCGAATAAATGAATAAAGTATGACTTGTGCTGAGTAATTAACATGTTAACTAGTGTGGGATAATTATCAATCATCCGTGTAGTTAACAACGTGACATTTTACAGAATCATTCCCTTCGTGGCAGCTGACGCCCTGACCAAGCTAGAGCATGACTTCAGCGATGATGACACGCACTCGTCACCACGACCCTTGGTGCCCATCTTTATACCTGATGCTGGTAAGTACCCAGGTACCTGATGATGGTCAGTGCCCAAGTATCTGATGCTGATAAGTGCCCAGGTACCTGGTGATGGTCAGTGCCCAAGTATCTGTTGCTGATAAGTGCCCAGGTACCTGGTGATGGTCAGTGACCAGGTATCTGACGGTAATAAGTACCCAGGTACCTAGTGAAGGTAAGTGTCCAAGTACTTGATATTAATATGTACCCCAGATACCTGGTGATGGTAACTGTCCAAGTACATGTTGCTAATAAGTACCCAGGTACTTGGTAAGGTGAGTGTTCAATTACCTGATACTAATAAGTACCCAGGTAGCTGGAGATGGTGAGTGCCGAAGTACCTGATGCTAATTACCCAGGTATCTCGTGCTGGCGAGTGCCCAGGTATCTGGTGCTGGTAAGTACCCAAGTATCTAGTGCTGGCGAGTACCCACGTATCTGGTGCTAGTGAGTGCCTAGGTATCTGGTGCTGGTGAGTACCCAGGTATCTGATGCTGGAGAGTGCCCAGGTATCTGGTGCTGTTGAGTACCCAGGTATCTGGTGCTGTTGAGTACCCAGGTATCTGGTGCTGGCGATTACCCAAATATCTGGTGTTGGTGAGTACCCAGGTATCTGGTGCTGGTGAGTACCCAGGTATCTGGTGTTGGTGAGTACTCAGGTATCTGGTGCTTGTGAGTACCCAGGTATCTGGTGCTTGTGAGTACCCAGGTATCTGGTGCTTGAGTACTCAGGTATCTGGTGTTGGTGAGTACTCAGGTATCTGGTGCTGGTGACTACCCAGGTATCTGGTGTTGGCGAGTACCCAGGTATCTGGTGCTGGCGAGTACCCAATTATCTGGTGTTGATGAGTACCCAGGTATCTGGTGCTGGTGAGTACCCAGGTATCTGGTGCTTGCGAGTACCCAAATATCTGGTGTTGATGAGTACCTAGCTAGGTATCTGATGCTGGTGAGTACTCAGGTATCTGGCGCTGGTGAGTACCTAGGTATCTGGTGTTGGTGAGTACTCAGGTATCTGGGGCTGGTGAGTACCCAGGTATCTGGTGGTGTTGACTGCCCAGGTATCGGGTGCTTGTGAGTACCCAGGTATCTGGTGCTGGTGAGTACCCAGTTATCTGGTGCTGGTGAGTACCCAGTATCTGGTGCTGGTGAGTACCCAGGTATCTGGTGCGTACCCAGGTATCTGGTGCTGGTGAGTATCCAAGTATCTGGTGCTGGTGCGTACCCAGGTATCTGGTGCTGGTGAGTACCCAGGTATCTGGTGCTGGCGAGCACCCAGGTATCTGGTGCTGGTGAGCACCCAGGTATCTGGTGCTGGCGAGCACCCAGGTATCTGGTGCTGGTGAGTACCCAGGTATCTGGTGCTGGTGAGTACCCAGGTATCTGGTGCTAGTGAGCACCCAGGTATCTGGTGCTGGTGAGTACCCAGGTATCTGGTGCTGGTGAGTACCCAAGTATCTGGTTCTGGTGAGTACCCAGGTATCTGGTGCTGGTGAGTACCCAGGTATCTGGTGCTAGTGAGAACCCAGGTATCTGGTGCTGGTGAGTACCCAGGTATCTGGTGCTGGTGAGTACCCAGGTATCTGGTGCTGGTGAGTACCCAAGTATCTGGTTCTGGTGAGTACCCAGGTATCTGGTGCTGGTGAGTACCCAGGTATCTGGTGCTAGTGAGAACCCAGGTATCTGGTGCTGGTGAGTACCCAGGTATCTGGTGCTGGTGAGTACCCAGGTATCTGGTGCTAGTGAGTGCCCAGGTATCTGGTGTTGGTGAGTACCTAGGTATCTGGTGTTGGTGAGTTCCCAGGTATTTGGTGCTGTTGAGTACCCAGGTATCTGGTGCTGTTGAGTACCCAGGTATCTGGTGCTGGCGATTACCCAAATATCTGGTGCTGGTGAGTACCCAGGTATCTGGTGCTGGTGAGTACCCAGGTATCTGGTGCTGGTGAGTACCCAGGTATCTGGTGCTGGTGAGTACCCAGGTATCTGGTGCTGGTGAGTACCCAGGTATCTGGTGCTGGTGAGTACCCAGGTATCTGGTGCTAGTGAGTGCCCAGGTTTCTGGTGTTGGTGAGTACCTAGGTATCTGGTGTTGGTGAGTTCCCAGGTATTTGGTGCTGTTGAGTACCCAGGTATCTGGTGCTGTTGAGTACCCAGGTATCTGGTGCTGGCGATTACCCAAATATCTGGTGTTGGTGAGTACCCAGGTATCTGGTGCTGGTGAGTACCCAGGTATCTGGTGTTGGTGAGTACTCAGGTATCTGGTGCTTGTGAGTACCCAGGTATCTGATGCTTGTGAGTACCCAGGTATCTGGTGCTTGTGAGTACTCAGGTATCTGGTGTTAGTGAGTACTCAGGTATCTGGTGCTGGTGAGTACCCAGGTATCTGGTGCTGGTGAGTACCCAGGTATCTGGTGCTGGTGAGTACCCAGGTATCTGGTGCTGGTTTAGAATGATACATGAGCAAACACTAGACATATTTATTAGAAAACGTTTCGGTCCTGGGACCCTGATCGCTTCTAACAAAGAGGTTAAAAAGACAATATGTATAAGCGGAGAGTGAGATGAGTGACACATGGTGACCTCAAGAACAGGGCCGGCCTTAAGCAGATTGCCCCCAATTGGGCCCCGCGCCTAAGGGGGCCCCGCGCTAGAGTGTAATCTACTCTCGGCTTGTCAAGTACACACAACAACACGAAGTAAAAAAAAAAAAAAGAAGAGGGGCTTTGGATATAATATGTTGGCGAATTAATAAATCATTTCACAGTCACTAAAGCAAGTGGTATTGTGACTATGTACTTTTCAGAGGTGATATACAAATGTTGTTTGTTACTTAAAATGTAGCTTACATTTGTTTGTTCTATTAACTCGCATGCATTTTTTAAGCGCATAGTTTGATTGCTTTCCATACATGGGATCCACCAAAATTGTTCCCAAATGGGCCCCGCACCTCCTAAGGCCGGCTCTGCTGAAGAATGCCATATTGGGATGAGGACAGGTAGTCAATGGAATCACGTGACTCCTGTGTTGTTAGGAAGGTGGTGCTTTGCCTGGTTGAGTATCATGTATGCTAATGTTTTTGAATTTCTGTAGTCTCCAGTATCATGTTCTATGGTGTCGGTTATGGCAGTTAGCGAGGCTTCCAGACATCGTCGGCGTCTAAGATCTAGTTCTGCGAGGACGAACTCTGCCTCATCCTGATTCATCAAATGTCCCATGGAGTCCCTGTGGATGACGCAGGCGTACCTTAAGCCGTCTCTGTTGCTGGCGTTTCGATGTTCGTTGACGCGGACTGAAAGATTTCTGCCTGTTTCCCATACGCATTTCTTGGGACAGTATCCACAGGGAATGATGTAGACGCCCGCTGTGGAAGTTAGATGTGTGGGGGCTACATTTCACAGTAAGGTATTTGATAGATGACGTGTTTATGATGGAAACATTTATGTTGCTCTTAGCAAGTACTCGGCAAGTATTCGTGTCATTATCACCACATGAGAGTACTGTGAAATGCTTAGAGGACTGTTCCATGGGGGATTTGCTGAGGACAGCTTGTGCCTTGAATCTGCAATCCCGGATGAAGAAAGATGGAAACTGAAGACGTGTGAAGTCTTGTGTTACGTAAATACATTCTTCAAGAAAACAAGGGCTGGAGATGCGAAAAGCTCTCAAGAAGAAGCTAATAAGGACACCTCTTAATGCGGGTATCTGGTGCGAATAGAAGTGTTGGTAGGTTTCCCGTACACATTGAAGAGAAATCTGTCACTGTCGGGAGACCTGCACATCAGGACGTCGAGGAAAGAAGTTTGCCATCTTTTTCGAAATCAAGTATACACCTTATTGATGGCTCGACAGCACTAATCGTTTTGAAGAGGGCCTGGATACTGAAACGTTTCGAATAGAAAGCCAATATATCGCCAACGTATCTTAGCCAGGAAACGGTGCTGGTAATGAGGGCGCTGAATTTCTCGGTCTTTAGGTTCTAGTGTTTGCTCACGTGTCTTTCTAAACCAGTTTGTCGGTATCAGTTACCAAGGTTTATACCGCACTAAAGTATATCATATTTTCTTACTACTATCAGATATAATACCAGATATCATTAACCGTTGTTGCAAGCTAGTCACTCTTATTTCCATTAATTTTTTACATTTTCTTAAGCAATAACTTCCTCGCAACCATCTTCCCTACAGCTTTATTATGTTCACCATCATTTATTCTAACAAACATACTGATCGTTTCTCGCAACACTCTTCTATGAAATATCTCAAGCAAGAAGCCTATACAATATTTCAATTTCGTGCACTTTTGAAAGGTGATGGCTTGATTTAAGGGAAGAGTTCTTGATGGAAGGAATTGAAGCCCCGTTCAGGAGAGGAGAAATATCAAAGATGGAACAGATACAGAAATCTTCTACGACCCGCATAGCCAATAAAGCATTCAAATTACTGGGAAGGCCTTAAGTCTTAAATGTGTACTCAATTGAGCAGAGGAGAGGCGATACATGATAATATATACCTGGAAAGTACTTGAGGGCCGTGTCCCAAATCTGCACACTGCCATAACATATTGGAAGGAGAGATATGGAAGGAAGTGCAAAATACACCCAATGAAAAGCAGGAGTTCAGGTGGCACAATAAGGAAACACTGTATCATCGTCCGTGACCCCAGACTATTCAACATCTTACCAGAAGATATCAGTAACACTGCTGGGACAAGTGTAGAAGTCATCAATAGGAAATTGGACAAGAGTCTTCACCAGGTGCCAGATCAACCAGACTCTGATGGATGTGTGGGTCAGAGGACCACCAGAAGTAACAGCCTGGTTAACCAGGCGAGCACCTGACAATCCTGGACTATGGTCGGGCTCCGGAAGTAGAAAAACTCTCGGAGCTCATCAAATGTATATCAAAGGTGTACCTCCGAGTCCCCGTACACAGATATTACTTTACGAGTTTAGCGTTTCCTCGTTAATATATTATACAGTAATAGCAGACTTCGTACTAAAGAAGCAGAACAAAGGTTCACTTATTCAGGCTCTGCATACTAAACATAACATTATAACGCTTACCAATTTCCCAACGAACATACATACATACATAAACACATACGTCTCTCGCAATTATGTTTGTCTGCAGAAAGTCACCAGCCTTCTTATGTCCTCCCTTCATTTTTTTAAATACTTTTTGCAATGTTTTTTCAGCACACAACAATATTAATTCTCGCTTTATTTCAGTACTCTTCCTTTTGGACTCCAGTTTGGACTTAAATTACTCAAAGATCATGTGCAAAATAAAAAAAAATGTACTCATCATCCTGTCCTATAGGTTTCCACATGAATCAAATTTTAAGAGAAATAATAGTCTATGAATTAACCCTTATTAAAAGTGAAGTGCTTTTAAATCCTGGCAAGTATGTTCTTTTCATTCATCAACAAAGTTGCTCCCATCGTTGTCATATCTGCTAACTCTTAATTAAAAGCTTAATTAGAGCATACTTGTGCTTCTTTTAATAAACATTCACTATTTTTTTCCCCAGAGAATGATCAAATCAGCAGTGACTCTGAGAATGTAGCCATCGAAAATTCCGATGATGTTACTGAAGCAGCCACTTCCTCTACCCCGACAACCACCCGTCGCACTCACTCTCGCCTTCCCATTGGTGATCGCCGCAACCCCCTCCTGCCGCCTCGCCGTACCATTATCCGGCCCGTCACAGATGAATCTTTCCAACGGCGACCATTCTTGCCCTTCCGTCGCCCCACAGAACGCCCAATACGTCCTTATCACGACCTGTTATCACGCCCTCTTTCAACTGAAGTCACATCACCTGAGATTCCCAACACCATGCCCACAGTAACACCAAAGCCACATATTCCCTTGAAAGACCTAGACCTCCCCGAAACACATCTTCCTTTGTTCCCGCCCAGTCGTCCACCACCAACGACGTTACCAGATACTACGACTATGTCACCTGCAGATACAACTCTCCCTCCTCATCTCCCACCTGCTCCTCCTCCTCCACCAAAAACCACCACTATCATTCCTATCCAGAGCTCACGACTAGAAGAGACTCCCCTACAAAATCAACGACCAGCAGAAATTCCCACACAAAATTCACGACCAGCAGAAATTCCCACACAAAATTCACGACCAGTAGAGAGTCACCTACAAAATTCACGACCAATAGAGATTCCTCTACAAAATTCCCCACCAAATTCACGGCCAGTGGTAATTCCCACTCAAAATTCACGACCAATAGTGTCCAACGATATTGCCAATCTACTGCTTCAAGATATTTTCGATCTTCCTGAGGGACAAAACCCACCACCAGTCAGGTTTGGACCGAACCAAATAACACCAAAACCAATAGTGCCAGTTAAGATCGCTTCTTCTCTACCAGAGATACCACCAGCTGTCAGAGATCAACTACCATTGGCTACTGATCCAGTATTAGCATCAGGTAGGTAAACAAAAATTTATCACACCAGTTTGTCACCCATCCCATGTCTCAATTCTTCATCCCATCATTATTATTCTCTTCTATGCACGAACTCATGTGATTAATTTTATCAAATCGCAGAACGGGTTGGCTGGATAATACACTGGCCTGCGAGTTTTAGGACTCGTTTGCCAAGAATTCGAGCTCCAGCCGTTCTGTGATTTGTTTGCAATCATGTTATTACGATTTCCTGAGTCATTTGTTTAATATCGATGCTAGTTAATAATCATGGTTTTCCTCCTAATAGATCATCATATTCATTAATAAACTTTTCATCATTAAGTCAGTATACGTTACTTTTTGTGCGAGTCTTTTGAAGCTGCCAACACAGATTAAGAAATTATTTTACATTTCCTAGTACACAGACACATGGATTATTAAGCTCACTACACAATGTATGTTATTTTCTGTACAGGTCTTCTGAAACTATCTGGGTGCAACATCTACGGTCGCATGTACGTGGTAAAGGATAGAATTCCCGAGCTCTCAGCCAAGTGCAAAGAGTGCCGCTGCACACCAGTCGGAGTGCAATGTCTCCCAATATGCTGATAGTGCCACTACTACTGCTACAGTACCTCCCACCCATACACTGGTTATTATTTCCATAGCCTGTGTTGTATGTTTAATTCCTCTGAAGTATACTGATGCTTTGTTGTTATGCTGAGCTATAATATAACGACTTATTGGGATTATTATAGCATGGATATAGTTGGGTGAAAGTATGGGACTCTGTGTTTGAAATATGTGAATATTTTAGTAAAGTTAATATTTGTAGTAAATGTTCTTTTATTAAACCAGACAAACACATTTTAGGAAGAATGTGATCATCAATATATAGACGTTAATGTGTTGGCATCGTCTGTGCTGTCACTACTTCCAACGAAGGCTGGCCGCTTACTAAATCTATTAATGAGCTGTTGTCATCTAAAAAGTTGCATTGCCTTCCATAGAAGTCGTCTGTCTCAATGCAGACATCAATAGTTAAATAACACCCAACCATTACATTTTACAAGGCAGAAAAAGATGAAAAGTTTCTTTCTTTCAAAATAAAAACATACAATCATGTTGAATAACCAGTATCCTCCAAGAAAGATGCTGATTGTGAATAATGTACTGTTCAAGGATTATTAACAGACTATTCCTATATTTTATGTTATCTAAAAATAAAAAATGGTCATATACATTTAATAAAAACTGCATGACACGGCTGATCTGTGCCTTTAAAACAGATTATTAACAATAAACACAAATCCCAGTGTAATTAATACGGAGTAACAGACAAAAATAGTTGTATGAAACATTAGCAGCAGAAATGTTGTTGTTCTTGTTGTTCTTGATTCGCAGGACTCTCCCGGCCCGGGTCTTTTCCAGATAGTGACCAGGCCTTGGCTCCTTGTCTTGGGAGTGTCTGAGACCTATGTCTGCCAACTGTCCCCAGGCCTAGCCCCATTCCCCGCCCTCACGGGACTCGTAAAGAGCAGCTAATTATCTGGTCTACCATCTGCCCCGCCCCAGGGGGGCTCGTGGGAGTGGCAGTCATATGAGCTGCAGGTGGTAGCAAGCTGTGGCTTTAGCACCTTCCCCGCCCTAAGAGGGCTCGTGGGAGTAGTGTCCCTACAGTAGCAGAGCTACCCTTTTTTTTATTAGACTGCTGAAACAAATTTGCAACTTTAGAGCGTTTTTATGAAGAAAACCTTTGCTCATGTGAAGCTTTATCAATCCATTGGATTGATAAAAATCGTCGTAAATTAAAACATTTCCTAGTAAAATAATTTAATGTTATTTGTGTGTTATTCACAGAGTGTAGGTATGCATAGACCAGGTTCCTGTAAGAACATAATAAAGAAGGAACACTGCAACAGGCCTCCTGGCCTATGTGAGGCAGGTCCAATTCTCCCACCGGCTTATGCCTTGACCTAGTAAGATCAGACACGACCTGCTTCCACATCGGGCAAATGTGACACCACCTATGACTGCTGCACCTCTCCTACCTACGGTTTATAAGCTCCTTCTCCGCTCATATGCCGTATTCTACTCAAGACTGATGGACCCTGAGCTGCTTTGGGGATTAGCGTGGACGGTTACAAAGCATGGCTTGCTTCTGCAGTGTTTTAAAAATTGAGGTTGGAGAGTTGAAGGAGGAGGTCTTGCTTCTCCAGGAGGAGATTAGGAGGTTGAAGGTCCACCTCAATGGGTCTGGGAGAGAGTGTGAGGTGGCTGGAGTTGTGGGGAATGAGGCTTCTAGCAGTGAGGTGCAGTCTGTCTCTCGCTGTGAGGAGGCTGTAGTTGGGGAGGTAGCAACGGCTACCAGCAGTGAGGTGCAGCCCAGCACCTGCTACAAGTGGCGAGTGGTTCACAGTAATGGGAGGCGCATCAGAGTAAGGAAAGTTAAGAGTGAAGATCTGAAGGTAGGAAATCGCTTCTCTGTTCTTCAGGATGAATGTATTTCAGTGGCCAGTGAAGGTAAGGGTACTACTGCCCCTGCTAATGGAGGTAAGCGCATTCTTGTGGTTGGTGACTCTCAGGTAAGATATATTGACCGTGCTTTTTGTAATAGGAATAAGAAGATGAAGATAGAGTGTGCTTCCCTGGAGCTGGTGTTGGGGACATTGTCAACAGGCTGGATAATATCATGTCAGGTAATGGGAACAAGCCCATTATCTGTCTCAGTGCTGGTGGAAATGATATTGGGAAGGGTAGGAGAGAAGAGCTGCTAGATAAGTACAGGTCAGCTATAGATTTCATTAAGTCTAAGGGAGGGATCCCAATCATAGTAGCATTTTGCCTAGAAGGGGAGTAGGAAATGAATGGTTGTCTAGGGCAATTGGTGTAAATTGCTGGCTAGACAGATACTGCAAGGAACTTGCAATCCCATTCATTGACAACTGGAACAGCTTTTATGGCAAACATGATATGTATGCAAGGGATGGGGTACGGTACATCTCTCTGGGCTGGGGTGGTAGCACTTGCAGACTTGATTGAGAAGGCCATTAGTGAAATGCCTATGACTTTAAACTGATGGAAGATAGAGGTATGGGTGTGTGTGTGGGGAAACAAGCAGGTTGCAACACTAGGGTTGGAAACAGTAAATGTATAAAAGGCATTCAGCATGAAGTTATAAATAAAAGAATAGATCAGGTCAGCAAACAAAGGGGGACAGCAGAGGGCAGCAAGGGACTAGCTCCCTTTAAAGGGTTTACTATACTAATAGCAGGAGTGTAAGAAATAAGATAGATGAGCTAAGATTAATTGCAAGTGCAGGAAACATAGATATTATTGCTATAACAGAAAACCTGGCTCAATCTGAAAGATAGAGAGATGCCCTCTGAATGTCACATACAAGGCTATAAATTATTCCACACTGACAGGGTCAACAGGAAAGGTGGTGGAGTAGCGATGTATGTCAGAGACAATTTAAATTGTTGTGTTAGACAAGATATTAAGATGAAAGGTTCAGAGAACCGACATGTTGATATAATTAGAACATGTGCAACTCTTGGGTATCTTTATTGAGGAAACGTTTCGCCACACAGTGGCATCGACTCAAGGTTGAGGGACTGATTACCTCATTCTCTTCCTGTTCTTCAAGATTCCTTTGTATGGACGTTAAGCCTCTGTGTGGCTGAAACGTTCCTCAATAAAGTACCCAAGAGTTGACATGTGTCTAATTTATCAACATGTCGGTTCTCTGAAACCCTTCATCTACAAACCTGTCAGCCCCTGCAACTTCTTGGGATATAATACTTGGGAAATTTTCGCTTGCCTAGTTCTTGGGCACGACCTACTTCAACCCTTGAACAAATGTTACACGACCTATGACTGCTTCACCTCTCCTGCCAACGGTTTATAAGCTCCTTCTCAGCACGTATGCCGTATTCTAGTTTAAGATTGATGGATTGACCATATGACTCAAGGTTGAGGGATGTTACCTTCATTTCCTCCTGTTCTTCAAGATTCTCCTTTGTGGATGATGAAGCCCGTGTGGCGAAACGTTTCCTCAATAAAGATACCCAAGAGTTGCACATGTGTCTAATTTATCAACAAGATATTAAATTAGAAGCGTCAGCCACTGAATCTGTTTGGTTACAGCTTCTCGAGGGCCGAGAAAATAATTTTGGGTGTGATTTACAGGGCCCCAAATCTTGATAGGGAGTGCAGTAAACTTCTATGGGACGAAATTCGTAAGGCATCTACATACGAAAATGTTGTGCTAATGGGAGATTTCAACTATAGACAGATTGACTGGAGCAATTTGACAGGAAATTTAGAGTCAGGTGACTTTCTTGATACGATCCAGGATTGTTTTTTAAAACAGTTTGTGACAGAGCCAACTAGGGAAATAACCTCCTTGACTTGGTTCTTGCCAGTAGGAAACACTAATTAATAATCTTGAGGTTAATGATGAACTTGGGAAAGTGATCACAAATCACTCAGTTTTAATATATCATGGAATTCCCCTAATAATGGCAATCAAGTCTCTGTCCCTGACTTCCGCTTGGCTGATTTCATAGGACTGAAAAATTACTTAGGTGGGCTGAACTGGAATGACCTGACTAAGGGTCAGGTAGGTGGTAATGGTTGCCGATATGACGCTTTCCAGGGCATAGTTCTAGCTGCTCAGTCAAATTATGTTCCAAATAGGGAAATCAGATCAAACAAAAATGATCCTAAATGGATGAACAATAGATTAAAATATCTAATTGGTCAAAAGAGAGACATATATAGGCAAATCAAAAGAGGGGAGGGGCAATTAAGAAATCGATATATTCAGTTAAAGAGAGAAATAAAAAAAGGAATTAGAAAAAAGCAAAAAGAGATTATGAGGTTAAAGTTGCAAGAGATTCGAAGACTAACCCAAAAGGATTCTTTCAGGTATACAGAAGTAAGATCAGGGACAAGATAGGCCCACTCAAAAGTTCCTCGGGTCAGCTCACTGACAGCGATAAGGAAATGTGTAGAAGTTTTAACACATGCAAGGGTTCTAAAGGAATGTAAAGAGGAGCTTAGCAAACCTTTGGCTAATCTTTTCAACATATCACTACAAACTGGCATGGTGCCAGATAAGTGGAAAATGGCAAATGTGATACCTATTTTCAAAGCAGGTGACAGGTCCTTACTTCGAACATCAACTCAATAATGCCTAACCTCCATATGAGGGAAATTTATGGAATCAATAATTGCCGAGGCAGTTCGTAGCCACCTTGAAAAGCATAAATTAATCAACGAATCTCAGCATGGTTTTACAAAGGGGCGTTCCTGCCTTACGAATTTATTAACTTTTTTCACTAAGGTATTTGAGGAGGTTAATCATGGTAATGAATATGATATTGTGTATATGGACTTCAGTAAGGCTTTTGACAGGGTCCCACATCAGAGACTATGAGGAAAATTAAGGCACATGGAATAGGAAATTTTTTTTCCTGGATAGAGGCATGGTTGACAAATAGGGAGAAATCAGAGTGGGGAAGCGTCACGAACGGTGTTCCACAGGGGTCAGTGATGGGCCCCCTGCTGTTCACAATATACATATATGCAACAGTTAGGTTCTTTATTTCGAAAAGTTTCGCCACAAAACCCAGT